TAAATTAACACTTTTGCTCGAAAAAATGCAAATAATAATCAGAGAAGTAATCTGTTAATTAATACCATACAGTTTAGCCTCACAAAAAGTAGAGATTAAACTTACATTGATTTCATTTAAAAATAATGTATTATTCTGCACTGATTTTAAAACAATCTGTTGAAAAACTTAATTTTTAAATGCCTATTCATGATAAATGTATTTCACCATTTTATTTATAAACAAACACTTAGTTCTAATTCTACGTTGATTAAATTGACTTTGATCTTCAAATATTTGTGTAGAAGATATTACGAAAAATAATCATTTTAATAGTAAGGAAAGAAACAAAGAAAAATATTCACTGAGTTTTTTCATTAAAATATTCTAGTTCAGACCATTAGCCATTTTATTTATGTGAAAAATATGCAATGCCCTCACCGGGAATAGAATTCCGGACCTTCTGTTGCTAGCCAGACGTGATTACCAATTTCCACTTATGAAGGCACTCGGTAACGAAAGAGGAAAACCATACATCCCTTTCTAAAAGCAGGAGATTTATTGAATTCAAAACTAATCAGAGAGCAATGTACACTTGTAATTATTTTTAAAGCGTAACATTTGAAGAAGTTATTAAATGAATTAGGAAATAAGATCGGTCATGTAATCCTGCCCTAAAGAATAAAGGAAAAAAGAAAGAAAGAAAAGCCGTATATAACGGAATGGCACGATGTCTAGTTCAATTTCGGAACTGACGTTGATAAATTTTCAGAGACGCCCAAGAAAATTAAGAGCCTAGAGGGGGAAGTTTATACAATGAAATCAAGGACAGGTCGAAATACTTTCCGTCTCAAAGAAAAGAGAGGATTGCATGACAGTTAACCATCAAGAAATGCATCATATGAGCAAAAGAAGAAGTAATATTTTGCTACTATAGTTTTTATTTAATTCCAAGCTCTATGGAGCTTATTATTAGCGCATATAAATTTCTGAACTTGATTATACATGTATTACTTCAGTAGTGCTGTGATTATTACGATAATAATGCATTTGAAACGCTGAAATTTTAACTCTTGGTTTGTTTTCTATTATTCAAAGACAAGAAATCTAATGAACAAAGAATTTAGAGCTTTTGAAAGTTTTGTACTGTATATGTTTTGGAAGAAAAATGTGATCCTTGATACATAAAATTTACGTTAAAATTTTGTTACCACACTTTGCATAACTAATGCTCTTATTATTGTCGCATAAACAGCACTAATTTTGTAGAAACAAATCAATGCGCTCAGAGGATGGCTTAATAAGATATGCAGGTTTTTAAAAGCATACTTTTAATTAGATTAATTGTAATTCAGATATGCTAAATGGCACGTTTTATTAACCGATACTGTGAACTAAATCTTTGGTTACCGTATATAATTTTGCTCTAAGCGCAATAAGTAGATGCAATGTTACTGAATAAAGGTTTACTAGTAGTTACAGATATATTTACAGCAAATATTTATTACAATAAATTACAATGTCTTCCAATTAAATTACAATTACAATGTCTTCCAATTCTGCATGCAGAAATGATGTTTTGAAACTGATTAGCAATGAATCATAATTAGCGTTCAGATGCGTTCACCTTTTTCTCATTCTCACGATCTTTTTTTCAATAACAGCATATATGTTATAAACACAGCAAAATGTAATTAATGTCTTCAATTCATAACATTATATAATACTTGAAAAACGAAAGGAAAACGAAAAAAGGAAAAAAAATCTACAAAGCTTTTTTTAAGACAATGAATTTGCTTGTTCTCATTCGATTTCCTCTTATGTTTTCAAAAAATCGTGAACTTTAAATTTCCAGAAAAATAAAGAAATTTTATTGAAAAGATAAAATTCATTGAAACACTTATTTCATATAGTTTATAATTTTCATATAATTTACTGGTCACTACTCAAGTAAGTCAGGAATGTTAAAGAATTAATTTTTACTTCGTTTTACTGGGTTAAAATGAATATTTTATTTACTATCCCAAAATATATAAATAAATACAAGCGAAAATAAAATTAAGTACATAACAATTTCGTCTAATATTTTTAGAAAAATAAGACAACTTTTGACTTGTCCGCCGAAAACATCGTGGCAAAAACACCGCAGACGAAAATGTCGCAGAGAAAACAACGCACAGAGAAACATCTTCTAACAAAACATTGTGGGAGGAAAAAAAAAGCAACGAGAAAACATCGCAGTTCTAAAACATTGTGGTAAAAAATAAAGCGGTGCAAAAACTCCGCCGTTTTAAAACGTCGTCGTACAAATTATTATGGTAAAAATATTTCGCAGACATGCGTTTTAAGACTAAAAAGCTTTGAAGTGAAATTTCGTGAAATGATTTGTGAGAAGTAAGTAAGACATCAATATTTTGTAGGGTTTACTTTATTTTCCTAATAGTTATTTTTAATTTTGGAAGAAGCCTTTCCTTTACCTTGTCATTTTCCACCTAAGTTTCCCTGACAGAATGATTTTTCAGGATTTCGGTTTATGTAAATGAGGTAAAAACGAGTATTTAAGATAAAGTCTCTAGGTCACTTTAGCAGAAGAACGTAGTAGAGAGTGTTCTTCCTTTCGGCCACGTTCTTGCTTTTAGTCTAAGCTATCTGTTATACAGCCCGATTGTTGCATGCCTGTTAGTATACGCCAGTGATCTTAAATAAGGGCCAACTCTGTTAGACAATTCCGTGCAGCTTGGACTGGTTTATTTTAGTTAGTATTAGATAAGTTTTATATTTTCTATCTTAAGTTAAAGCCCAAGGGGAGGCTTATTGTAAGCCCAAGAAAGAGCTATCTGTTAACTTGTTTTGAGTTGGAATAAAGAGTAAAGTTAATCCTTTTTTGGACTTGTTACTTACAAGAACTCAGGAAATAATCGGTACTCCGTCCTTTAATATTCTAGCTCTTAAGGAACTTCAATTTAGCTAGGATATTACAATTGAATTAACCTCTTTTATAATGAGTATTCATAGCTTTTCACGAAAAATATTAGAAAGAGGAATATGAATAAGTTTAAAATTCTATAAACGTAGCATTAATTTTACTGATTTCCAGGTTTTAAATGCTTAAGTTTCCTACTTGATTTCTATATAAACATTCATTGGTTAATACAAAAATATGAAATATATAGATGAAATATTCCTTGTTACTTCTTGTGCACATAAATTATAACGCGAAAATTCACTTAAACGTTTTACTGTCAGAAAATTCATGTCTGGTATTATCATCATGCAATAATTTTCAAGTGCTTTATTTTTTTACCACGATATTTTGAACGACAATGTTTTAAAACCGCTAAGTTTTTGCAAAGTTTTATTTTCAACTACAATGTTTCAGAACTGCAATGTTTTCTTCTTGCTTTATTTTCTCCCACGATGTTTTGTACGACGACATTTTCCCTTTGCATTGTTTTCGTTGCTGCGGTTTCGTTAGCGATGTTTTCACTTGTAACCAGTTCAGACGGTTAGTTAACCTCCTAGAGAAGATTTAAGTAAACTTGTAAGGATCTTAAGTTTTACTAACGTTTATTTTATTTTAAATCTTTACTATCACTTCTTATTTTCTACTTCCGGCCAGAATTATAAGCGTGAAGGAGTTTATGCAAAGTTGTCTGGCGAACGCCAAGTATTTAAGTGTGGCCTTTTTGCCAAGCAGAGGAGAGGAAGCCGTGAGTTCGAAGCAGGCCGCTTACCTTAGAAGTTACGCAGTTGCTACTTTGCCTTCCAGGCCAGAGGTTTTAATCCTCTTGATAAATTAAACGTATTGTAGTGTTCACAGTCTCTGTGCTACATACGCTTTCTGTTATTATAAGGCCAATCTTATTCTAAAGTTAAATTAGAGTTTAGTTTTATTTTGATATCTTTTAAGTTAGACCCCGAGTGGAGGGTCATTGTATTCCGAAGTACGGAAGTCATTGTATATAAAGAAAAAAATAAAGGGTTTTGTATACCCTTCGTCTGTATCCTGTCTACTTACTACAATTAGTGAACATAGCTTTAGTAAGCTCTCTGTTCTAGTCAGGTCATTGTATGTTTCCGAAGAAGGTTAGAAGAAACATTGAATCTGATAAACTCACTATAGGTCTACATGCCTGATGCATTTTGTATTTCTCGTACCTAAAATTTACTGCATAAAATAGCTAATCAACAATAAACTCAAAATGAGGGGAAAAAAAGGTTCTGTAGCATGTACATAATATGTAACGTTATGTATATCTTTTCTAATTACTATAATGCTGCATGTATTTTATCATATACTAATTCAATATACAAATAAAATATAAAACAAATATTAATATTATTGAGAAATATGCTTATTATTTTAAAGCCGCTGTATGATAAGCTATAAGACATTATATTTTTTCCACTGGCACCATTCTAAGAATTGGAAAAGCAAGAGGCCGCTTAAAGGATAAATTAAAGACTTTATATTTTGCGCAGTGGCAACACATGGCAGGTTATGAAATATTGACGGTGGTGTAATGGAACGGTCTAAAAATTTTAAAAGTCTCAACTGAAAATGCTTCTAACATAATAAAAACCCTTAAAAAATAGCAAATGCAAAATTATGACAGTTTTCTGCGACGCACAGAATTTCTTTGCTTTACTGCATTTTGAAAACTCGAATTTATTCTCTTGAAGGCTTTACAATAGATATGAATAATATACTTAGTCTCCTCCGTAAATATATCCGCAAAATCTTCTTTTTAATTTCTACTCGACTACACGGCGATGGTCATTAAACAAATAAAATGACCTTCATTTGTGCTTATAAATAATGTCAAAACGAAACAAAATTTAAAAACAAGTAGCATCTCAATACGCTTTTGGACTCTGTTAGGTTTTTCCCTAACTTTCCTTCATTTAATTCTCTCAGCTAACATTTCGAAGGTCATCGGAAGACAAGGAAATATATGCGTACTTGGTTGTCTCTTCGGCTAGACTCAAAAAAACAGAAAAGGGAAAAAACAAGTAATTACTCTGCAAGTCCTTCGCCGTTCCAGCAATGTAGGTCTCCTTTGGGAACAAAATTTCCGTCACTACAAAGACGATCAGCTAAGTTGGAGTAGAAGTCTTTAGACTCGGCCACTTTGTGAACGAAATTCTGCAGCATCATGTAAAGGCTAGTATGGGACATGGGTCTCAGTGACAGAGGCTCCGACTGAGTCGGAGCAGCTGTTGCAGGAGGGACTTCTCGGCTCACACGTCGAGGAGGTCCACATTTCTGTTTCACCTGGAATAAAAATAATTTATTTTATAAAAAATTAAATAAAATGTTTGAAAACGCATTTTTATCGTGAAAAACATTTTTCAGTTCCCAAAAATATTAACCAGAGTGAGTATTAACAAAATCTTAGGCAGGAAAAGCAAAAATCAGATGTGCTTCCAATTACAACACCAAGGCGATCAGGAAGCAGAAAAATCTCTTTCAAAAACGAGATTAAAAAAGATGCTTTTTTCTGAATTTCATTTTCCATCGGATCACTAAAAACGAGTATGGTAGTTCATCTTGATTTCAGTTTCTGGCTGCTTCGAATGTTTTTCAGTGTATGTAAAATACATACAATCGAATTTCTTTTAAAAAATCGACACGAAGACATCATTTCTATTCATATACAGCTATTGAGCGGTTTGCTGTAATTAACTAATCTGCCCACATCCGCTGTTGCATTAGAAAAATCAAATCAGTACAATTCAAAAATTAAGGATCAGTTTGAACTATATACTTGTATAATGCTACACTGCAATATTTTAGCTCAAAATGTTTTCAAAAATCAACCGCCAATTGCAAAAATGTATCTAAAATCTACTACTATACTCGGCTTTATCAGAGACCAACTACTCTTGATTTATCTCTGATAAATTACCATCGGGAAATGAAAAAATTACTGCTGTTGTTGTTGTCGTGTATATAAGATTATTAGCCAAATAGTGCCATAGGTGAAGACGACAACCCAGGCAATCTGCAAACTGTTACCATCTTACAGGTTCGACCTCAATATGAGGGCCTCAATTTTTAACATTTCAGCAATGGTTGGCAAGACAATAAAAAATGTTTGCAGTTGTCAATTGTGTGTCTTGGCAGTTATCACAGTTTCTGTAAGTTTCCCTATCCTTTCTATGAATTTGTAATCCTCTGTGATGGCCAGTTCTAAGCCTGACTACACTGGTGTGCAAAACTTAAGGACAAGGAGGAGAAATTAGCATAAAAGTAGAGCAAGGCAACAGAAATGACCGAAAGATCAATCAGGATATAGACTTCGGACCGGTACATTTCAGTATGCGCATAAATGGCACATGAATAAGAAGGAGAAGTGTCGGAAGGGTATATAGCACACCGGTGGTGAACGATCAGCTAAATTCGGTGAAAGCCACTGTCAAGTTGTTACTACCGTGTGATATGGCCAACAGACAATCCAGAAGACATAATCCGGATGACTTTATCCAAGTTCACATCAGTATTAGAAGAAGGTCGAGGCTTGACAAGTGTGGCGTAAGAGTTCGGGATCGGTCCCTGCATCGTTTCACTAGCCTGGAGAGCATTTCAAACAACAGGAGCAGCAGTTTTGTTGTTCAGCAATAGTCATTCACGAACAGCAACGGCAATGGGCGATCGTATCCCTTCTGGGTGAGAAGAGACAATCGGCAAACAGCGTGAAATATAGCAAGTTACATGCAAAAAAAACTACTTTGGACGTCCGATATCACGTTTTACCTCGGCCAGGAGGCTGTGAAAACATGGTCTGTATGCACAATGACCAGTACGGTGTATGTGTAAATTTGCTGTACAAGAGGAATGGGGAGCGACGCCTCAACAGCTCATTGATAGCCTTGTCCTCAGCATGGACAAATGTTTTAATTCTTATATTGCAGTCAGGAGTGATAATATTTCCTTCTAAAGACAGGATATTTCTTAAATGGCTCCCGTCACATAGGCATTCTGTCTCCTCTCCAGCTGTCCTCGGAGCTACTTTTTCAATCAAGTGTCTTTCTAACCTTATGATTCCTTATTCGGATGGCTTTGCTCATTTGTTCCATATTTTCACATGTTGGGGACTTTATGGCATAATATTGGTCCATGTGGAACACTTATGCACGACGTTACGTTCGAAAAATTGTCTCGTCCTTAAATTGTGCATACCAGTGTATGGTTTTAGTTATAAGTCGATCCCCATTGATGTTATAAATCTCATGCTTTATTGGAATTGAATGTTCCTTCAGTCTGTATTTTCCACGGCATTTGCGACCGAAAGGCTGACATTTACGTTATTATTATTGTTGAGATTTTTAATTCGAGAAAATTATTATTACTGGGAATAATATTTCCATCAAAGTGGCTTTTTAATATTTTTAAATTCTGATCACAGGAATTCTCTTCGCGGATTCTTTGCTGCCTTTCTCCGCATTAACAAGAGCTTTCAAGCCTTATAATCATTTAATCATTTTCTGTATGCTTGGTATACTCTCAACCAAAACTGCGAATCTTATTTGTAACGGGAAATGAAGCTGAAAATCATCAAACGCAAACAGAATATGTATCCAAAATGAATCACAATTGAAATTTTAATCAAAATGAAAAAAATTATACCGTAGTTTGTAAAAAAATTTACAATAAAATCAAGAAATAAGTGATAGATAACAAAATGGGAAAGAAAGTTTCTGTTATTTATCTTTTCCTTTGTTGAGACATAACAACTCATTATTGCCTTTTTAATAAGCTAAAATATACACGCATAATATATAAGGTCAAACTTCGACAAAAATTCAAACTTAAGGATAAGGAGGAGAAAGTTGTAGTTGGTTTCACTAATCTAAAAAAAACATTTTGCCTATATCTAAATTTAATACTGGACTTCTCTTTTCCATAGCTTAAAATATTATTGAATTGATACACGCTGCTAGTAATCCTCTTCTTATTTTACTTGAAAATTTATTACTTAGACTGATCCATTCAGCGAGCACGCTTCCATTTCTCTTTGTGCTTAATTAGAGGACTATTAATGTTTAAAGTGCTTAGGTTATGTACTGAAATAATGTATTATATGTTTTTCCTGGAAATTATATATGTATATACCGGATGTCCTAAAATAGACTGGCCGTTTACAAAAATTTATAACAGAAAAACGTTTGAGGTTAAAAAAATTCTTCCAGCAAATTCATTAACAGGGCATAAATGTTTCCTCTCAGATTTCCTGGTTTTAGTTCAGAAATTTTCCGATAGATGGCACTGCAGATAGTAAAGCTGTAAATCAAAGAAAAATATTTGAAAATCATATCCCTGTTTTTCGAAATTTTTAAGGACTGAAAATTACATTACAATATTTTCGAAATGTCCATCATCAGCCGCAATCACGTGTCGAAATTGGAACATGAAATTAGCAAACATTTTCTGTGAAGTGGCCAATAGAATGACTGCACATTCGTCAATAATTCTTCAAATTTCTCAAGTGTTCGGAGATTTTTCTGGTACACTGAATCTTTCAAGTGCCTACAAAAGAAGAAATGGCATGGATTCAAGGCTGGTGAATACGATGGCCACTCTATTCCCATTCCTGTGAAGTGTGGGTAGTTTAAAGCAACTACACGCTTGTCAGAATATTCCTCTAAGAAACTGAAAACTGCAGCAGCCCGTTAAGTGTACAATTGTTTCCTTAACCGAACTGCACATTTGCTTCTGTATAGTCGACCAGTGTTGTCCAACCGTTCCGACATTCTCATCCACAACACCCCTTGTTCATTTAACGTCTCAGTTCCTTAAAACATAAATTCAGCCGAGAGGAAATTGTATGAGTTCAAACTTGTGTGAAATATTTTTCATCCAATGAATAAATGGAATGCTGAAAATTTCAGTTTTAGAAATGCTGTAAAAACTAAATTTCATTAGGTAAAACATTTCTAATGTTAGTATTTCAGTGAATGAGAACACGAAATTCAGGCTTCAGCATTTATATTTTTAAACGCAAAAAGTGCTTTTCTTAAGAAATTATTTTCGAAACCTTTAGATATAGTACCCGATACTATATATACACTGAAGTTTTAATGTGGCTGTGCTATACTTTCGGAGCCTTCGTCGCATATCTTTTCAGCAAAACAAACCGAGACCTCATTTTGACCGCGCTATTCATCCTTTCCTCAATACTCCACTCCTGCCGGTGCATTCCGTAAGCTCTTGCATCGATGCGAAGTTTGCAGGCAGACTGGTACAACATCAATCAGCCCAGCGCGAACATGAACTCTGGCAAAGAAATGAGTCCGCATAGACTCCATTACCCGTAACTATCAAACTTCTGAGCTTTCTATGTTATGTCCCGTTGTTGAAATGATGTTCAGAATCATTACCTTATACCTTACTAACAGCAAAAATTACAAGAAAATTGCGGTTCTTGTTCATGTAAAAGCAGTCCTTCTTAAATCTAATTTCTTGACTACTTCTTAAACAACAAAATTTCTAAACCGCAAAAAAATTCTTCAGAAAATGAAACATTTGAGACTTCACATTTCATCGATACAGTTTAACATCCTTTCAAACAGACTGCTAAATTTGTTTTCTTTCGTGATTTCAACGTTTACGGATATGAATCAAAGTAAATTCGAAAAAAGAGAAGTAAATTTAACTTCTCAGCATTGATTTTAAATTTAAGAGCAACATTCTTTTATTTATATTGATACCAGCTTAAGAAATTGCTTTAAATAAAATTATTCAATTTGGTTTAATTGAATGGTATAATTTAGGAAACAAATATAAAGTGAAAAGAATTAATTCTAATTCCTCCACTACATTTGAGATATAAAACAAAACGGATGCATTGCTGTGTACATCGCAGAGTTCTTTCTTTAATATTAATACGTAGAATTTTATTTTTTTAACTGGTGAACAGAATAAATCAACTTTTCCCTCACCGGGATTCGAATCAGAGATCGTTCATTGGCTAACTGGATGTGATACCATAAATGCCGCTAAAAAAGGCACAGAGTATATATAATTCCTTACCTTCTCTCTCACTTAAAAAGTGACTGGGGAGAGGCACGAGACCCTATCCCCCAGCTAGAAATCAAATCATGGATTTTCCAACTGCTAATTGAATATTTCTACTGATTCCATCGCAAGAGTACGCACGAGAGAATACCATAAACTACCAGCAACAATTTTAAAATCATAAATTTTACAGAAAAACTGGCACTCAAAAAAATGTAAGTTACTAGAAACCAAGGCATTCTAATTTCTCCCCTCTT